AATTCAATAAGAACCGCATTTAGGTAAGGAATTTCTAAAAAAATATATCAAACTATTAATTACAATCGAGCATATGACCTTTAAAAAGCTCTAATCATGTTTTTGAAGCTAATTAATTATTTAAAGTTAATTTTTTTTAGTGACCCCTATAAATATCATGTATTTCCCAAGTTCGATAATACTGAAGAAACGAATCTTGGTCGCCCACAGAAAGCTTCCAGTACGCCCACATTTAAATATTATGTGTAATTCGTGAAAATATAAAATTAGACGTGTAAATCAGATAGAAAATATGTTTTTTATTTGTAATAAACCATATGAAATAAAATTTTGAATATATATTAGATTATTTCCAAAGATTTGAATATCGCGCCACGATTTTTTACCCCTTTGGGGTATTTCTACAGGGGGAATATTGTCTTGTCGTATTTTTCTTATTTCAAATATGTGTGAAGTAATCCAAAAGAATTGAATTTTTTAAAACTAAGATGTCATGGAATTATAAATGCAATTTTTCACTCGATGTTTCAGTTAACGATATATTTATTATCAATTAATAATGATATTAATAAATAGTTCTGCCCTAGGGCAAGTCCGTGAACTGAGTTAAACTCCAACTCGATTCAGGGAACAATAGTGTGAGAGATTTCCCATTGCCATTTCACACCGCAGTACCCGACATGGGCTTAATTTCAATTGAAAACATATCTTTGACCTATATTTTCAAGTGAAAATGGACATCGCTATTGCACGATGTCAGATAGTCCATAGCGGGATTCAAACCCACTTAATCATTACACCATGGTATACCCGTTATCAATCAATGTAATATTATTTTTAAATTTTTGACGATTATCAATTACACTGCGGTCTCTTTGCAGACCTGAACCACAGAAGGGAATTTTTCGCTCAAAATCTGCACATAGCGCGATTGGCCAGCCTCGTGCGCGTTGTCATTAGAAGTCGACGTCGACTCGACTTCGGGCTCAGACGACGTCACGTCGGCGTCGATCGCGACGTCCGCGTCAAGTTTCTGCGGTAACTTAACAGTACCTGGAAACCGAAAGAAAAACACATGCTTTTGGATATATATTTTCACGGAAATGCGCAACATCGAGATCGACATCGTTTCTGTTCTTTTCCTTTTAAGGGGGTATTCTAGTGTAGAGCGATGAATTTCAGGTCAAAGTGTCGTAAAAGAAAGCAATGAATGGTTTTACTATCCATTTTTTACCACTTGTTTATTTATATTATTAAAATAAAATACTAAAATTAAAAAATTAAAAAGTTGAAAATTGTAAAAACTGGCAGCTGATAAAGTGGGTGGTCTCAAAAAATTGGCACCTCAGTCTTGACATGATTTCAGCCCTCCTAGCCATCGGAAATGCAAAAAATAAAAAGATTATTAATCTACAATGATGTCGCAATCGCCCGAACTAGCGATGAGTAAAAAATTTTTTTTTACAAATTGGCGACTGTTTGAAAAAAAAAGTTTTTTTACTGTTTTTTGAGTTTCTCGAATTTTTTAAAAATAGTAAAAATTGGAATTTGGGCATAATCCTAGTTCGGGCTATAGATAAGTCTATAAGCAAGACTTTCAAGTGTATCGGTCGATTAAAACTCGAGAAATCGTGTCAACAGTACTGAAAAAGTCTGTTCTAAGAAAAAACGCATTTAAAGTTTTGCGTGAAGCCAAACCAGTATGGAGACCGAGTCAGTCAAATGCCTATATCTTCGAAAATAATTCAAATTTTCAAACACCTTCTCTTCATTCTCCATATTCTTAAATTAGAGTGTTAAACATTGAAAATATGAAATAAAAAAATCGATTTTTTTTAATTTCTACACTAGAATACCCCCTTAGGCGCAATTATTTTGAAGAGTATTCAGAGGTTACTAAATTTGTTTTAACTTGAGTCAGGTGATGAACAATATTATCTCATAAATTAGAATAGATACTACATCGATTTTTTATTAATAACATCGTTACAACAATGATGAAAAAATAAAATTATCAGCCACGAACACTAAAAAAAACTAATATAAATAAAATTCTCTACTTTAAATAAAAATATTTATTGAAAATAAAAACACAACAACAATGGCATTCTGCTACTGATAACAACATCAACATGCGCTGAGCTAACTAAAGATGAGCAAATTAAATATATCTTAAATTAAAATTGATTCATTTTTATAGTTTCTCCGGATTGTGTATGTCCATAATATCCATATATTTCCAATAATATATTTTATCAATCTTGAACATTTTCCATTATTTCATATTGAATTATATTGTCCATATACGTCTTCAACAATTTTTGTACAGCCAACAATTTCGCTTCTGGTCATAAATCATTATTTCTCTTCAATAATTCCCAACTTTTCTTGAAAAAACCAAAGGCATTAATATTGTTCATTTTTGTTCCACAAGTTTCTGTTACAAATCCTGCAAAACCTAATAATTCAAAAAATAGACCTCCATACTATAACTAGTTCATGTATTGATCGTTGATCATCATTTATTATAAATTTATAATAATGTAAAACTTACAATAAAAATTAAATAACATACATAACATTAATTCTATATACATAAAATTACCAATATGTACACGAATGTTTTTCAAATAATTGACTTCATAATAAATGTAATAAATTTGATAACGTTGTTTTTAAGGCACTTTTTTAATAAAACTCTTCAAATTTCATATTTTTACAAAAACTTTTAGAAAATCATTTCTTGATTACAAAATGAAAACACTATCCCTTTTTGAGCTAGAGTGAATATTGAAATATAATGTAAGATTTAGAATTTTTGAGCTTAACTTAATTTTTCAAAAAAGTTTTTGAGAACCTTTTGTACTAAGAGTTAATAGTTTAATATGCAAATATATAAAATATTTGATTTTATTGCGATAAAAGTAAATTTCTGTTTCACTTCCCAACCTTCATGAAAATTTAATCAGATTCAAATATCAAAAAAAATTATTAACAAAAAATCAATCAGATTGTTCAAATCGTGTTTCATGTTGTTGCAAAGTACAATTATCAAATTAAAATTTATATATTCAGAATAAACTATAAAACAATATTCAATTTTGTTCGAACATTTTATATTAGGTTAATATTCGATAACCTTAGTAATTAATTTAAACAAACAAGGAATGTTAATAAATAATTAAATTACAATAAATTTTTCCTGAGATTCTCATATGTTAATAACTAAAACAAAGTCTAATATTACCCTGGGTTCAAACCTGATATTTACAATTTATAATTTAGATGTAATAGATACTAAATTTAATAACTTTTAAATAAATTATTAAAATACTTTAATTATTCTAAATCTACAGGTCTATGTCTTTCGATTATTCTAAAATTAGGTCTATATATATTTATTTACAAATATTTTGAGGCTTTCAAAATATATTTTGTTTTAACCACATTAATGCTTCTTATCACATCTAGGCTTTTCATAGTAGATCTTTATTTTTATTTTATTATCATAATTTTTTAAAGTCAATTGTTCTTATGAGAAATCGATTAATCGTACGAAAAATATGAAAAAATACTTTTCGACTCGCCAGTAATATAAAAATAGCATAATAAAGCTCAGAACAAATAGTTAATTACAAAAATAAATTAAAATTTCTGAAAGTCAACTTTATACAAATTTATACACACATTATCATCTTGTATTAAAATTTGTTAGAATAAATAGAATATTTTTTATCAAATAGTTTAAAATTGTAAGGAATTATCATGATGAACCAGATAATTTAATAAAAAGTTTTAGATGTAATAATAAAATAAATATATTTATTACTTACAGAATGACTTGTAAAAAAAATCATTTATGTGCAAAGAATTGATAATGATCAAAACTTAAATTTATCAAAAATATCATCTTAAACAAAATTATGACTTTGATATATTTTATAAAAAATATAAAATAATTAGAACTGACTTAAATTATAAAAAATGCTAATGTGAATTTTTGTGAAATACTAATTTTTTTCGATTAAAATGTATATACAATATTTAACAGAATTTTATTGAAAACTTTAACTATTAAATTTACTTACTTTTTACATAATTCTCGTGTTTTTAATTTTGATTGTTTTAATTTCTTATAGTTATTTAGGCTTTTTATGCTTGGCTTGTATAAAATAAGTCCCTAACATAATTGAGTCTCATTTTCGTTTTGTTGAAAATTTTATATTTAAAAACAAAATGATTCAAAAAAATCTTCATTATTTTGATTTCGGCAGATCTATTTTTAACAGATCTAATAAATTAACATTAGGCATTTAATTACTTAATTGCCTGAAAAAAGCTCATTTATTCACACTTATTTACAGCTGTTTTACTTATTGATTGATTTCATTTAAATATTAAAACAACTAGTTTTGCAATATTTAATAAGTAGTGAAAAGTGTTTTCGATAGAATCTTTGTATATAACGAATAATTAATATTATATTTTTGATCAAACAAAACATACAACAATTTTAATAAAATAGCAAATAGCACTAGAAATTATTCAGCTATATAAAAGTTTTCGAAAGTTTCTGTCGATTAAGAAAAAAAAAAGAGTTATCTCTTTTAATAATATTAAAATTTGAGCAAATGCTTTTTCAAACGTATTAGAAAAATTGCGAGATTTCATTGGTATTTTAAAATTTATTATTATTTTTTATAAGATCTTTGTTTACTGAATACAAAAAAATAGCCCTTATTAGATAAACGAATCATCTTATCTCCTGGACGTAAATCAAAATTCATTCCTGATAAATAAGCAAGTTTTTACATTTTTTCATATAATATTATTTTTTAACTCATTTGTACCATAACTAAGCTTTTGGTTTGTATGACAAATGAATTGAGTACGTCCTCATCAAATGTACTCAAATCAAATAAATAAATAAGACATATTTGAATAATAATTTAATGAGACACGTTGATCACCAGTATTAGAAAAATTTTCACATGGGCTATTGTAACTTTATTAGATAATTTAGTTAAAAATGCACAAAGAAAACTTATTGTATTTTTTTGTCAAAACTCCTGGAGAAACTCTATTTTTATGATATACATATATGACTGACATGGCCCTACATTAAAACTTTGTTTCTCCTGCTCAAGGCTCATGTAGATCTTCTTAGCATATGACTGCCCTGGCGATTAACGTGTTAAAAGCAATATTTCTCCAAGTCAATATCCAAGAGAATCTATCAAATAACATCGCATTGGCAACATTTTTCAGTACTTTTGCCTATTTGTTGTTTCCCAATTTCCTCCTCCTTATCATTAGTGATCATACGCATTTGCGCATCACAATCGTTAATATCCGTCGTTGTTCTTAATATTGATTCCAATCTAGATTTGAGTTGATCTGGAGATACTGCTTTGGTTTTATTATTAGCCGTTACATCCAATTTCGAGTTCTTAACTTCGTCCTGCTTAAGTTCATCCGACACCCTGCTCTCTTGATCAGGTGTATATTCCGTTTCTGGTGAATGAGATTCCAAACTTTCAGGTGTATATGGATCTTGCGGATACCGATGATCCAAAGTGTACAAGAGTTGGGTATCTATAGCGTTGACTATGTAATCCCTGCTGTAACCATCAAATCCTCGGGATCTTAATAAAATTCCATCGTTGGCTATCCTAAATTTGCCGCATTCGGCACACATCACAGTTTGTCCTGCGGAATCAGGTTGCTCGAGGTCGTATGTTTCGCACAAACAGACGTTTAGATTGAAATCGGTGTCAGTGACACAAATGACAGGTGACGAGGTGTAAGGACCTACTATATTTATCGGCTGTTTATCGACGATTTTTGCATCGTTTTGTTCGTTGTTGGACGTTATTAGCGGCGATACAAAGCTATAATCTAGCGAAGCATATTGGTGCAAATCAATACGACATCTAACTGTACCTTGTTCAGTGCGCAGCAAAAACCTCAAGTAGACCGGCTGCACGAGGAAAGCATGGGCGGAAAAAATAATAAGATTAAAAAATCTATAATTGCTAACGATGACGATGACAGTTAGAGCGAAATGAGAAATGAGTTAGTAGATGAAACCAGCCAACCACACACTAGCATAATGAATGTGTACTATAAATATTTTAGGGCCAATTCGGCGGTAAAATAGAGCATAACATAGCGTTGTTATGGCAACGCTATGATATACTTCTTCCTTGGTGCTAAAAACTGTAAAAATCTATTTGCTGTGTTCCAAAAATATTTCGAGGCCGTAATATTTCAGTAAGTTCTAAAAGACCATGATATATATCGCCAAAACAGTTCCATAAAAATCGGCACATTTTTTTTTCAACAACGAATTACATTACATAAAAATCGTCGAAAAACTATTTTTGAACACTATTACAAGAAAATGGCCCGGCCGATCTTTACCAACAACTAATGAGTTTGATTTCTAACCAATATTTTTCGAACAGTTTTTGAATTTTCAAAATCTATTCAGAATTGCGGGCTAAAACCTGGATAAAAAATCATCTCTCTGCAATTTACAAAGAAACGGCTTGGCTGATCGTCGCGCAAAATTGATAAACACTAGTCCTCATCGAGATACATCAAATGGCTTTCAAATTTTTGAAATCGCTCCAGCCGTTTTTGAGAAAACGACGATTTACGGCAAAAAATCTGTTCACATTTACGCACACACATACACACACATACTTTTTCCAAATTTGATCTCATACGATTCAGAATGGCTTGAAACGTCGAGAAAACATAAAATTAGCGAAACGGATTTTTTGATGAAAACAAACTTCTCCTTCGGGAGGATAAAAATGTATGAGTACTTCATAACACTTGTTACACTGATAATTTCCATCTATTTTTCACAACGAACCTTGTGATCCCCCATACACCTGTCACTGCCGATCACTCCATATTCGACAGTGGAATCCTTAGTATTATGCCCCCCCTCAATGAGGGTCTTGGCCTCTGTGCTCATGAGTACCCGATCGCACCAGGCAGGACATCTCGTCTTCATGTAATTGTCAGGTTGGGCGGGGTCCTCTTCGAAGGGATAGGTGGGCACGAAGGAAAGAGGGTACTCATGAAGGTACCCCCGGAGGGGATCCAGTTCTCTGTCGTATTGCCTGAGCTGATATAATAGATTGATTAGATAAATAATTGATAAAGAGATTTATGAGTGAGTAATAAAATATTTTTATTGTTTACCCATTCTTGTTTAAAAATTTTCTGGTGATCGCTGTGCGAAAACTCCTTTTTACCAACTGACAAGATTAAATCACCATCGTTATTTTTATATTGTACTTTTGTATGATCAGCGTTTTTTCGTCCCTGTAGCCGTAGAGCATTCAAATTTTCCGTTAATTTCTAAGAAATAGAATCATATTAGTTACATAGAAAAGATAATATAAAAATAGTAAACAGACATCAATAGCTCCTAACTCTACATAAAAAATTAAGGTTATAAAGCTAATTTTTTAACAAATTTCAATACGTTATAATTTTATGTCAGGTTGGATTAATAGTCATATAAATAGATAGTCAACTAATCAATATAATATTATTTATAACACAATCATATGCAATGAATTTTAATTATTATTATTATTATTATGGTTTGTTCTATTGATCACATTTTAAAATGCTAATTGCTACTTTCGGTTGTTGTAATATTTTAATAGTTGAAATATTTAAGAATATTTTTTTCTTATATCTCACATGTATAACACCTTGAGTATCACATCGAAAATTAAAATCTCCAAAAACGAAGTAAGGTGCAGTGCCATTCGTGTCATCCTGATGAAATCTGAAAGATATAAAATTCAAAAATTAATATTAATTAAAACATGAAAGTTATTTTTTTTGCATTTCACTATTAGGAGAGAATAGAAAATTCCTTTACAATATTCTTGTGAATAGTACGTTGTAAAAATAAATATAAGGTAGATAATACCCTCATAAAACTTTCATGAACTCAAATAATTCTTTTCCTAGTTTTACACTTTTTCATTTTCTTGTGACAAAAACTTATATCGCAGAAGAAACTTTTCTTATAAAACAAGTTGTAATGGTTACATAAAGTGTTTTAAACTATTCCTATCTAATATACTATCTTCTATAAAATGAACTATTTGTCTATTTTAACAATGAAAAAATCCAGAACGTCCATCGTGTCTGTTTCGGTTTTTTCTCGATTATTATGGATTTCACATAAAATTTGCATGAATAGATTTTATATGCAAAACCATGACAAAACAACCGTAAATGTGGCTCCTGTAAAATTAATCTTATTTCGTGTCCGAAATACGCATGTGAATAGAATAAATGAATTATTTATTGATTTGGAATAAATCAAAAACGGTAAACCAGTAATATTCTTTTAGACATAGTAGTTATATAGTAAAATGATCTCACGTTGTCACAATACACTTTATAATAAAAAAATGTATGGTTAAATTACTAAAAATATTTAAATATATACATAATATTTTTGGCTATGTTTTTTATATATTTTTTTTCAATATGTCAATATTATTTTCATATATTCTTTTAATGACATATTCTAAAACGAGCCTTCTAAATGTAATCTCAACATATAATTTTTGCCCTATATCTAACTTGTTATTCTAATTATAGTAAGATACTATTATAAGATCTTTGAAAGTTTGTTACTCTATCCCTTGATGGAACTTTTAACATAGAATTGTTAAATCCATTACTACTAACATTTCCATTACATACATTTTTAAATGCCAGGAAATGTGATACGTCTTCTTCATGTACATGAATGCTTTCAGTACCCAGAACATTATCGATTCTGCGTCAAGTACCTACTGGGTATGAAACTGTGACATGTAAATGTAACATGAGAAAACGTTAACATTTCCTCGACATTAATTATTTTCAGTTATCTCATGTGAATTATATGAACACAATAGAAACGAATCCATTTAATTTCATGTTATATAATAGTATGAAACTTTTTGTGACATTGTTACACGATAGTAAAGCAAAGAGGAAATGTTAGCAGAAATAGAACAGAATATAAAGATATAGAGACAGCAAATAGAATACTAGTGAACTAGGTGTGCATGGCATCGTGCCTTAAAGCAAATTACTGGAACACCCCGTGGAGAAAACTAAATTAATAAAAAAACTTTACAAAACTTTGAAAAAAATAGATTTTTGAGAAATTTTGAAAATTTTGAAAAAACTTGACTAATTTGATCCTTGTATATTTTGATTTTTTTCTTAAATTTTTGAACATGTTTTTAGGCTGCATAGCTTGTTTGAAGTCGAAATATCAAAGCGCGCAAGCTCCGCGTAGTCGTCTAACGTGTAAACATTGGTACGGAAACCATATGAATGTACACAAAATTTGTACTTATTACTATAATCTTCATAAAATATCTAATAATACGATGTCTAATATTCATTTTTGACCGCCAAATGGCATTGTTTTTCACCTTTTTTATTAGGAGACGCAGGATCTGTCTTTACAAAAATATTACCAATTGTTCATTTCGTCAATACAAGTAAAATGTTTTTTGGTACTTTTTGACCCGTATCTCCGAAACGGCTAGACCTACCTTTGCCAAAAACTAATCAGCATGTCATCTTATCAGTAGGAATCGAATGTTTTTTAAATTAATCAAATAGCGAATCCATGTTCGTGAAATCGTCGACGAACACACACACACACAAACATCCATTTATTCTAAGGTATGCCAGAATGTTCAGAAGGTTTTGAAACAACTATTGAGTTGTTTTTCCAACATGCCCATTTAGTATACAATGTCCCTTTACGGCTGACAATTGTAAATTCTCTAAATTTATTAAATGTCCTTAAATGGACAGTTGTAAATAAAATAGAGAATAACAAAATTGTTTTAGAAAACCCCGTGTAAAATAAGTAAATTTGGTCATTTTAATAATAATAAGAATAATATAAATGTTGATGCTTGTTGATGTTTAAAATAAAAATACTATTTCATGAAACATTCGAGTGCATTTCGGCAAAAGCTACTATAAATATTTTAAATCTTATCATTTATCCTGCGCTATGTAAATGTTGAGTATGTACTAACACTAGCCATTAACTTTTATTCTATCGATTTTCCCAGTTACCTACCTCTCTAGAGTGTGCTGTAGGGCCACCCTGCGGCTCTTGCAGTAGACCGAAGGAAAGCTCTCGCAGGCGGTCAAATTCGATGCGTCGTGGAACAGGTGGATGTTCACGAAATCCACCACGGTCCCGTTCAGATTCCAACGGGTACGCAAATAACCTTTCCGTGACCATTTGCACTGAAACATTGCAAACATTATTAATAATCGGAGAGCTGATAAGAGGAATAAATTTTTGTGGGAAATGCAAATCGTTAATAGATTTAGAATGTTAACATCTACATATCTACACAGATTCTATCTTACAAGATAAACGATAAAAGATACGTAAAAGGTTTGTTCGGATGAAAGATGCAGAATAAAATGATATATAATGATTTATATATGATTGTTTATATGATTTTCTTGTGATTTTACAATTTTCCTTGAATTTTACAACTGAAACTCACCTACAGGACAAACCGTTCAAAATGCGAAGTTGCTATATATGGAAGAGGAACTAAAATTTTTCAGACCTTTCTAAGAATCTATAATACTTTATATGGTTTCTTTATAAAAATATCGAATAGTATGAATAGCTCAAATGTATCCGCACTTTGCATTTCAACATTTGAATATTCACACAGCATATTTGCTCGGACGAAAAACGCTGATTAAAATTACTAATAATACAATATATGAGTGTTCATACAATTTTCTTGGCAACTAATGCGTTACCAAATTATTAATTGATTAAATAATATATTACTCGACTCTCTGACTAATCAGTACACACACAACCTGTCATTATGAATTCCGTTCGAGTAAGCACAAAACACCCGTATTATGGGTAATTTATGAATATGCACGTGTACACAAAAAGCAATTGTGCAGGTTTTCGACAGTGTATAATTGTTTGCTGAAATTATATAATCGATGGACCATGCATAAAGTGTATTATGATTCATTATATGTATATATATATATATATATATATATATATATATATATATAGATGACCCAACAGGCGTTGTCCTGTACCGACGTCTACGATTCAAAAAATCCAATTTTTTAATATCCTATCGTATACTTTTTAATATCCTATTTGATGTCCTGCCTTCGAGATTTATTTATAGTCTTAGCATAATCAGTATAAGCAATTCAGAAAAAATAATACAGTATCTGCAGTAAAAGAACAATATCACACTTGATTTCACCACACAACATAATTTACTATATAATTTTTATAATCTTGTACGATATATTAGTTGCTTTTTGGCAATTAAAATTTCCAAAGTACATTTTTCTTACTAATAATTTCATTAACATTATTGTTTATGTTCAAATCTTAGGTGAATTAATTTGTAAAATCTAGTTCATATGAGCACTCTTCAGTCTAAGATCAACTTGCTAAATATTCCGTACCCAACGCCAACCAAATGAATTTTTGACACATGAAACAAAAATCATTCTAAATAATTTTTTTTAATAAGTAGAAATATTTTTGTATTGTTAAATAATTTAGTAAAATGAACCAAAATGCGACATGCATAAATTTAAAAAAATAATGTATATGCAATTTTGGACTTATTGCGTTACTTATTAAACTGAATTATATAATTTAATCTGTAAAGCATATATTGTATGTTATATTATTTTAATTTTTGGCACATCTCAGCTGCTTTACGGCAATAATAATGTAGACATTACATTTTTCTTGCATATTCTAATATTATCTAGGCTCATAATTTCAGCTAAATTCTAAATTTCAAGTGAATTGACATTTCTAGCAAGTTCAAATGTTTTCAATGTCAAACAATTATTAGTGTTTTTTATAATTTTTTCCATTTATTTTTACAATATAACTAAAAGAAATCCCTTAACAAAATTCAGAAAGATTTATCAAAATCCGAATAATCGTTTAGGAGGAGTACTTTGACTTACACCCATACAGAAGAATTTTATATATGAGATATGTGCATTTTTTTCAGGTGGTGATAAATATGTTGATTAAACAAAATATTAAAAAACTTAAAAGATATCCATGCAGATAATAAAATAGAAAGAAAACCAAAATATGTTTCTTAAAGTAGATTTAATAGATCCATACGTTTCCAGTCCCAATTTGATTTTTCCTCAGTGTAAACAAAATACAAAAAGTTAATAAGACACAAACACAAACAAAAGCATTGTTAATGAAAATACGTCTTCACAACAACCATTTTAGTGAAAAAATAAAGAACGAAATATACTTCGAAAAAGAAATAAACTAAAATAATAACTTCGACCATCACTTCTCAAAAGATTAAAAAAATTAATTATAACATAACTGTTTTCATTTAAACAAGTAGAATTCCATAACGCCAATTTCAAAAGCCCTTGAAACATTTAATGAAAATTTCTGGAGTGTAAGGTAAACGAATGACTGACAGCAATATCTTTATATAGAGCAAATCTCCCGAGGTATATAGACCATGCAAGTATTATATACATGTGGCTAAAGTTATCCAATAAAATCTCATCGTGCTCTTTTATGATAATATTATTCATGTATAAAAAATGAGCTTAAAAGATAAGAAAGCCATTGTGTAGAATATTTTAAATAAAAGTTATTCATTCAAGCTTTACGGTGGATCATTTTTAAATTTATAAGAGGATAAATAAAATACAAAAGAACTACAATAGAACGATGAAAAGCATATCTCGTTTTGAGTCTTCCTACCTCTGCACATTTATCTCAAATTGAAGGCATCTGCTACATATTTCTAAATGCTGTGTCATTTAATAACTTACCTCTGGGAAGAAATGCTGAGGAAATTTAGACTTGTCCTTTGTGGCGACCGCCTCAATGTTTCCTGTATAGATTTTTCGGTCCTCTACTGGCGTCCATTGCCGTCGAACGAAATCCCATATGTGCCTTGTCGTCACCGATTTGTGAGCATAGTATAAATTCCCTAAGGCCTGACAAAGAAGAATACAATCGATAGATACATATTGTATAGTTGATGGAATTGACAACCAAGTAAACTAATAGAATTGATAGTGTCAAATATTTCACCCAGATTTAAATTTAAATCAAAATTATTATTTACCGCCCATGTACAAAAATGTATATAAGAAAATAGTATCCGATGGTGGAAAAAATCCACGCTGCTTAATTATATAAGCACTCCATAATTATTTTTTCAATAATCTTTCCTATATATAAACTTATTGCCACCGCGTGCTACTAATGTATAGTTAGACCATTGAACACGCAAATCTGTTATTTTTATGTCATTGCTTCTACGATAAACACGAACTATAAAATATAAATATGCATAAAGATAATTTATCAAGCATTTATCTGCAAATACGTAAATGCCATCGAAATAATATTTAAATAATACATTAATATCCAAAGCAAGCGTTCTAAAAATATATCAATTAGCGGTGGAGACGCCTTGTAGAAAATTTAACTTTAAATTAATTTTCAAATGTATTGTTTTATATATAATTATTAATAAAATAATTGAATTTTATTGAATTATTTCCAGAATAGACGTAGGACGATTTGATTATAAAAACAATTTATATAAATAATGATTTTATAAATAGCAAAGTACTTGGAATGATTTTTGGTAAAAAATACACGTGTTACACATGCGTCATAAACAAACATTTATAAATTGCTAGGTATAATTTTTAATAAAAACTAGTGGTGTATGGCATCGTTGTTTAAGGCAAATTGCTAAAACTTCCCGTACCATAACAAAATGTTCGAGGAATATTAACTGTTTTCAAATAGATTATTATAAATACTGTAACATTGTATAATATTTATAAGAATTATATAAACTGAATTACAAAGTTAAAATAATTCGTATAAATGTTCTTTAAAACTTTAGCCAGAATTAAGATTAAAATCTGAATTATTTTCGATATACAAAAAAAAATTCTTTAAAAAAAAATTGAAATATTATTTTCCAAAAGCAATTATTTTGTCAAAACAAGCAAAAGTTTCTTGAATCATTGAAATCGAATGCTTAGTTCTCTCAAAAACAGCAATTTTTTGCACAATTAACTCGGAATCTCCGAAACAGCTGGACCTGCCTTTGCCAAAATCTAATCACCACTTCTCTCCGTCATTACGAATTCAATGTTCTTTAGATCATTCAAATCGGATGCTCCGTTCTCTCAAAAATTTGATTTCTGTTTTCTGCACTCTTTTCTCCGGATCTCCGAAACGACTGTACTTGCCTTTGCCAAAAACTAATCAGCATATCTGCCTATCAATAGGAATCGAATGTTTAAATCGGTTGATCCGTGCGCCCGAAAACGTAGACAAAAAATGTATTCATACACACACACACTTTCATTTTTTCTGAGGTATTCCAAAATGTTCAAAAATTTTCAAGACGTAAAGAACTGTAAAAAAATTTATTTTCGATTTTTGGATGTTTATAATAACTTACCCTACGGGAAGTTAAAAAATGGTCAAATTTAATATTTTTTTAATGAACAAATTGATAAATGCTAAGTTACTTTCTATACTAACATAGATTGATAGCATTAATCTTTTTAAAGACAGTTTTCATTTAAAGGGCTTTCATTGGAAGTCTCAAATTATTTGAAAAAAAATCACAGAAAATACTATTGCGTTCCAAACAATTGTAATCAATTACAATTTCATATATTAATTATACTATGACACAGTATCATTTGTTGATGACGCCGGCAATAACCATTGTTCTTCCCACATAGATAAAACACAGGAAACTATATGACGCAGATGCGTATTGTGTTTAGAAAAATTCCATTGTCAATCACATACCGAATCGGAAGTCGCATTAAAAAACTTATTAAAAATATGAAAACGCGTAAAAACATACAACATATACATTGCACTTACTTACATCTAAAAAAGAGCGCGAATGGGACTATTTAGGAGGAAAGTATAATTAAGAGAGATAATCGTAGCATTCTAGATCCTCCCCCGCATGACGTAGCTCGACATACCAAGACAAAACATGTAAACCTGGATACGTAAAATGTATTTGCTTCTATATATTCTAATTCACCTAGATCTAAATATATTCACATTCGCATATTTCAATAATCACTTATTTCAAACCCATTCAGACGTGGAAACTTAACGCTATTGATTATTGAACTGTGCAAGCCGTGTATAATTGGTTTATGTGTTAAAGTTATTTTTAAATCTTAAAACCCGTCATATTGGAGAACTCGTAACGCACGTTTACATACAATCTAAATTTAAAACGACATGCCTTGAATGTTTTACGTTATTATGAAATATTATCATAACATTTTATAGCATTTTATGTAATGACTCACAATAAACCCGCTGCTGCTGTTGGTTCTACATGATAAATGTTTAGAGAAAATGCCAGAGTTTATGATTTTCAAAGTCAATTATAAATAGGCGAAGTCTAAAGTGTTTAAGAACATGAAAAGTATTTCAATATTTTAAAATACATCAGGAGATATTCGCTATCAACACTTAAAGCGTTAATTTGGAAAATAAATCTCCACCGCTAAAAACATGTTAAAATTGGATTAGATCAAATATTTTTTGTGGAGATCAAATTGAAAAAGAGGACATAAATTGAGTTTCTTGATAAATGATACAAAAATTAGTTACGAAACGTGAAAATTTATTTAGATTTACGGAGTTTAAATATGAAGTTGTTAATTCAAAATGCACTAGCAAAAGTCATGTTATTTTTAGGTTTGTATGTTTTTGCTTAATTTTTTTTTAATTTGAAGATATCAAGTATTTTACCATATTACAACGCCTATTAAATGCGCCTAGCTTTTCATGACGCTAGATGCTTTAGTACACTCTTATCAAAGAAGGACTTTTCAAAGTCGACCAATTTTGAAAATGTTAAAATCATAGTTTAATTATTAATGCTAGGAAACGCTAAAATGTGATCCTAAAGTGTTATTCATAATTACGAATCCAAAATTAAATGAACAAAATTGATCAAAATAACCACAATTTACCCTGACAAAAAAAAGTGTGCGCGATTCACACGTGATTGAATTAAAACTTTTTTGCTTTTGTACGAGATGGCATTTGAGTGAAAAATTAATACATCACATAACAATATTGTTTTCACAATTTCACTCATTATGTAATTGTGTTTGAAGAACTTAATCTAATTAAAATTAACATACATTCATCGACTACTTGCATTTTATTTTTACTGTTTGCTGGCGATACAATCTCATTCTTTGAGCAGCTTTAATATCTGTCTTGCTTATAAAAATATTTTCGACTTCAAATATTTAAAGAAACTAAGAATAAGATAGAAATTATTTCAATAAACTTATGTTTCGCACACGGCACAAATGTTTTATTTGTTTTATTACTTTCATTATAATTATTTATGGGGGGAAGGGTAAAATATTCTTCTGATTCAGGTATTTTTTATTGAATCAAGATTTGTACTACGGTGTAACCTTAAAATCTAATAACATTCCGATATAATAGAGACATATAACGTACGCCGGTACACAATACAACGAAAGATCCCTATTCACTCGACACGACGACTAATCACAATCGACCCGTATAGAAATGATTTCATCGAGAGCGAATGACGAACAGTTTGGGGGTAACGGAACTTCCGTTGCATTTACTATCTAGTCGCGTCTAAAGAAGTTTTGCTTAAAAAATGTAATTTGCACATAAAAGCTCATAATTTTCAGCCTATATGAAATAATTTTTTCATGATAGTTACGATCACCCCGTTTCGTAAAATACCCAATAATTTTTTTCCCATATTTGTACATTATATTATGAAATACGATAAGGCTTCTATATAAAGTTTTACAGCTTACACTGTGGTTTGAAGTTCAGTTTCAGGAATAATGCTCGTTTTATCCTTGACTAAACGCGAATAAAAAGTTTAATTAATTATACAAATATGATACAAGTATCTCATATTGTTTGGCATCCATTTATACTAGTTCAATTTTCCATATAATATTGTAATTAATTTATAATTCACATTTTATATGCAAAAGAACCCTTGCACTGGCATGCAAATTGAAAAGAAAGAATAATTTATTCAAAATGAATTTCATGTTTTAACTGAAATATAACACTGGCTATTTATAATTAAAATCTGTAACTGTTGGTGAAACTAAAAAGTTATATTACCGTAAAATGCTGAGCAGATCCGTAATCTTCGTCCAAATATATCCTAGCAGCATCGAATCCAATTTTCTGCATCGATTCTCCGAGTCGTTCTACAAAACTTCGAACCCGTTCCGTAGATTCGTCGTACGTTTTTCCGCCAACTTCTTGCAAATGCAGAGCCAGAAATCTGGGACTCAGTCTGGAAGTTTGTTCTGCGAATTCGTCCAACCATGGTTGGAGCATAGATTCCGGCTGAAAAATAAAAAATCCAGAATTATAAGATTGAAATATAGAAAACAATTAGTTTAATTAATTGTACACGTAAATGCATAAAATATAATAAACTTCTTATTCTGATCTGTTACTTATCTTAAGTCATACATATGATATTATTTATTAAAGAACATACATTTATAATATTAATTTATTTTTGATCATTTTTTTTTATTGGCCTCGCTTACTCGAGCATTTAGCCACCTACATTATTCTATACAATCATATATTTCATACAATCTTCAATTTATTTAATCATATAATCCTATTCTTTTTCTATACTTCTTAACTCATCTTCATTCTTCTTTTACTATCTTCCCATTTCATCTTCTAACCATATATTTCTTCTTCTTCTATACTTCTCATTTCTTCTTCTAAATTCTTCTTACTTCAATTCATTTTTCAATTTATTACGATTATTCTTTCAAGCAAAAAATTAATATGTATTCATATTCATGTAAAAAAATGTTTAAAGAAATGTGCCGTGGCAAATCATTGTAATATTGATTTCGTTCGCCTTATATGATCCAACAAAGACTTACGCTGTAATTGCCTATTAGCCGTAAATAGAACATAATGCGAATATAAATATGTTAATGAATGAGTTATGCTAATAAGTATGGTAATAAATCTAATGCAAATAAAATAACGGTCACAGGCTTATATTGGACTATAGGTACGCAGGCCTATGTTGTTTTGTTAATTCTTTAGTAAAATTTGATACAGTGGATGATACAGAAGCCCAAGAACAAAAGTTTTAGTTAGTCAAGTAATTAAATCAATTGTGATTAAAATACTATAGATTTTTTTCATTATTATTTTGAAATTGATATTATAACTTATATCTCGATAATACATAAAACTATATACATTTCTATTCTATCGGTTTTACATATTAATGCTATTCTATCGATTTTACATATTTCTATTGAATACATTCCTTACATATTATATTAATGCTGCAGTGGACATTTTACACATATTTCATTATAATAATTTTATATAATGTATAAGGTATATTCATCATAATTATGAAAATGTTAGCTTCACATATTACCTATTTTCAATTAGCTTTTAGAGAAAAAAATCATCTTTTCTATAGGGTGGGGCACAAAGATCCAATTTGACTTTAAGTAATTATACTGTATAAACTAAATAAACTACATAATAACACATAACACGTATCAAAGAACTATCAAATTATGTTCAGTAAAATTTTCAGTTTATTCCTGATTATAAAAATGTGTTTTTCCTATTTTTCTAAAATTTGTGTCTTTTTACCCTATAGGCAGAGAAAAATGGCAAAAAAATCCAATTTTAAAGAGCTTTTTCAAAATAATAACTACATTACTCAACCAATGCAAAATATAAATTTCATGGGTACATTTTTTCACATATAATACTGTATATAACCTTGATATAATAACTATTTGTTTAATTTATCCCTTATAGAAATGGTTTTTTTTAAACTTAATTCACTTTTTTGTTTACTAGTGTTGTTTACACATTTGCCAGAGTAAGGATTCTGTTGATCCTTTTTACCCCACCCACATGTAAGCTTTTATGAAGATTATATGAAAAAACTGCCCAATCTAACTTAAAAATAACGACATTCCTTAAGAAACAATTAAATATAGTATACTTAAAAAATATTTAGGTCTCGTAAACTAAACAACAGTGCTCACAGACAAAAAACTAACGAAATAGAAAACACTTTTGTTTTGGATTTAAAAACATTGCCGTTTGTCTTCTGTCGTAGAAATCAAGGTCATAGCTGGTTATACGTCCTTTGCCCTCTCCTTTCAAATATTGTTATTGAAAAATTCCTAATTTTATTTGTTTTTGAGATATCTGTGATGGACCTATATATATATATATATATATATATATATATATATATATATATATATATATATATATATATCAGTAAAAACATGACAATAGACATTAAAATGGTTTTAGGTTTGGCAGTGTTATAAAATCATTTATCATTACTCATTAAGCTTGTAACAAAATATATAATAAAAACTACTTAACCGAATTATACCGAACCAGACAATGATTATTTTTTAATAGAATAAAGATAAATTTTAACAGTGGATTATTGTGATAATAGTATTTATAATAGATGATAATTGAACAGGGTGACATTGTTTTTAATTTAAATGCTCTATATCAACCTGTAAATGATACATCATACCATCATACATCTATGATTATAACAATCACAAAAATATTTACAGAGCTTCCAATCAAAATATTATTCTAAACTGTTTATCGACTAATGGTGACAGTTCAATCAGAGCAAGTGTAATTTCCGATAGCAAAAAATAATAAACAATATTTCATTTGAGTTTGTAGATTGTATTAGAACAATAAACTAATATTTCTTAATTAAATAAATAGAGTGTGCCCGAGTACAATAAATATTAAACAAATATACGTACAATCGCATTGTGTAATTAATTTATATTATAGTATGATAAGGCAGATATTCTACCAATAGCAATTCTCTCATACAGAAATTCTTGGTGAAACGAATAAGAACACGAATTGTAAAAAAGGTAAAATATACTTTCCAATAAGGAAAAAACATATATACTATTTTTTCGATTGACCAAAAATTTTATGAGCCATAAGTTTGATACGCCCAAATAAATTCACAATTCAAAATTGGTTAAAAATGTTTTAAGTGAATACATTCCTTTGAAGTTAGTCTATACAAAGGTAAAAATAAATTCACCAGCAAAGTTGCATCTAAAATCAAGGTCTAAAAATATTCTATATCTGCTTAATATATCTTTTGATAAATACACAAAGTTGGTAGAAATTGAATCTAATAATGATCAAATAAATTCATGAATCTGGAAAATGTTACCTGTCTGAATCGATGATTGTATATAGAATACTTTTTACACTGACAAAATTCTTAAGAATAATTTAGATTCGCAAATAGTTTTGCTACAAAATTAAAAATTGAGCTGAATGCCTTATCTAAAATTACATTGGAAATTGTTTTAATATAATTATAAGTATTCTAAAAGTATAATTGAGTTCAATATTTACTTGAACACAGTATTTATGGGTTTTTTATGATGTAGATTTTTAAATTTGAAGTGACATGTTTTGAAATATGTGCAATAAAAATAATTTCTGGTGTAAAGCAAACTCAGATTATAAAACTTATATTATTTGTATGAACATAATTATTTTGGAAATATTACCAAAATCAATTTAGAAAAGGTAACTAAAAATTGTAACAACTGCATAATATTTGGAAAGATTTACTCAGTTGAACAATTTTATTAATTAACTAGCTGACCCGGAAAAACGTATTATATAAGGTATTTGCAAACAATTTCTAGAAAATTAAAAAAAATAATAATTTTTTATAAGTATATAAGAAAGATCTTGTGAATTGACATTCTTACAGGTGTGTGTTCCAAAGTTATTATTTGTGTTATCAGCCGAAACTTCTTATTTAAATTATTGTCAATTATAAAAGTCATTCGCCAAAATATCATAAAATAATATGATATAATATATATAACTGTTCTATAAATACAAATGAGTACAAAATTATATAAATGAGTTCTTTCGAAGTACAATAAGTTTGAAAGAAATATCATTTGCAAAAACGAGTGCCACAAAGCCAAAAAGTGAATCTTCATATTAACATTTCAAAAAAGTTGGAATTTTGAGTTTCTTGCGTCTTGTTTAATAATGTTTTTGTGTACAAATCAAACTACTTGCTACAATTAAATAATGTTCATCTAAAACATCCTGTTCAATGTAATTGAACATAATCTGTCAAAACCATTTGACATTTGACGTATGAGCCGCCGTCCATTGTTTCATTCATATTACGCTTCAACAAAAAATTTCAAATTAAAAATGTAGAGTTTCTAAGCGGTTTTGAAGTAAAATCTCACCTTTTGCGCAATCTCTGAACTAGCACAAAGGGTATGGGCGCATTGCCATATAGAATCGGCCCCACCCTGGTATTTAAATAATTTATACGCCATTTTATAGGTCTAAATGATAAAAACCGATATACCAATTTTCAACTTTCTATCTCATCTTATGGCCGAGATATCATTGAAAATATGTGAAAGTGGCCCCTTTTTTCAAACTCACTTTTAGACGTAACCATAAAAGATATCGAAAAAAAATTTACGTGGTTCTATTCATATTGGCTTAGGTCACATTATGTAGAACAATCGATGCCAAATAATCAATTATTATTAGCTGAAAAAGATAAAATAATTTTTCAATTGATGTTTTCCGGTAGTGCGTTTAGTTGGACCACCTTCTAATTAGCTTTATTCGAAAGATTATTGTTTTTTCTTTTAGTACTGAAAATATTGTTCAAATCAATTTGGTGGAACACATTGGAAAATTGAAAAAACCGGAGCTAATACACCCGCGCGTAACGCTAATATACCCTGCAATTGCATAGAGTTCGTTCGAACGCAAAGCTGTGCGCGATGCGCCCGAAACGATTTCTAAGAAATTCTGAATGTGACAATATTTATTATATAGTTATATGTATTCATATGAAATAATGATATAATGAAACATTGTAATTTCAACAAACCCAAGAAACATTTCTTTTTTTGAATGATAATTGCAACATTGTAATTATAAAGCCCTTATTGTGGCCTATCTTTATCAGTACTACTCAATACTACAATACAACAAGAAATATGACAAATGGTAATCTGAAATTCTTTGCTTTTTGTTATTTAAAATTTTTCAAAAATTATTCGCCATTCGATGCGGAAACTTTCTATATAGTACTTCAGGACTTTACAAAAATTAATACTGAAAGTATTCTAATAATCATTTTCATAACATAAAACTTTTTAGTTAATTCATTTAAAAAATTACATTATTTTTATGTTTGTATTTTTTATGTGGCTTATTTAGTATAGTGACAATTTTTATGTGGTTTATTTAGTATAGTGACAATTTAATTT